GTTGGTCAGAAGCAGCAGGTACTACAGCTCTTGCGAAAAAATATCATGAGCGTGTGTCGTACTGTGTCAACCCCTTTGGAACCAAATTTTCAAGTACTTTGTACTAAAGATGATTGCCGAAAAGTTTGACTATCAGTCGCTGATTGGTTCACTGATGTACATTGCGGTGAATACCAGACCCGACATATTGCACTCAGTGTGCAAGTTGTCTCAACAAAATGCAGACCCGCATTCTGAACATTTAGCAGCGGCAAAGCTTATACTCAGATATTTAAGTAAGGCAATCGATTTTGGGTTGCATTATAGCAAGACTGGTGATTGGATATGCGGTTACGTTGACGCTGACTGGGGTGGCGATGCGACAGACCGTAAATCATTTACGGGATACGCATTTTTCTTCGGTGGAAGCGCTTTCAGTTGGGAAAGCAAGAAACAGCAAACAGTTGCACTTAGCAGCACTGAGGCCGAGTATGTGGCGCTATCGTCAGCTGCCAAAGAATCCATATACCTTAGAAAATTATGGCAAGAATTAAAATTGTTTGATAAAGGCGGTCCGATCATGATAAACAGTGATAACATGAGCGCGATGAACTTGGTCAAAAATCCTGTTTATCATGGTCACAGTAAACACATAGATATACAATATCATTTTATTCGAAATGTATATCGTACGCATCAAATCGATTTGAACTATTGTCCTACTAATGATATGAGAGCAGATATTTTAACTAAAAATTTACAGAAGGCAAAACATTGTAAATTCACAGAGCTCTTAGGATTAAATTAAATTTGTAAACAAAGTTTTATATTCTTTCAAAAGACTATAATATAAGTATTGAGGAGGACTGTTGAAAGTCTTACATATAGCAACACTTATATTATACAAGCATACCAACTACTGAAATTGAATTTTATGTACCTAGTTTTATAAGTTTGGTTATACATACATACATTGTTTCAAATAAACTTTCGCTGAGTTAACACATCGTGTATGAGAATTTGTTTTCTATCGTGAAAAGCCACTGACGTTAAGGTTCAATGTCGGAGATCCCCACATTTTAGTCTATTGAAGTGCAAGTTTCAAACAGCTAAAAAATCACATTGATTTTTGAGATTTTTTTTTGTGTGAAGGATTTTGCACTTTTTCTCATATAAGTATGAATTTCTTATGAAATAAAACGCGGGGGACCGTCAGAAACAAAATTTCAAAACATCAACGCAAGTTTTTGTAAATTGCGCTTGTTATATTAAAAAACCCGAAAAAGTATCTTCCAAAAAAAGATTCTCAAAAATTAACGCGATTTTTTAGCCGTTTGTAACTTGCCCTTCATGTGACTAAAATTGTATGGGCTATAAAATTGCGTACCTAAAAATTTTCCAAAAATTCAGAATAAAAAGTTGAAATTTTGAATCTTCCTAAATTGTGTATAAAGTTTGAAACTGTGATTTACACGGTTTGGTTAAAGCTTAGACGATATTTTTATATAAGAATAACAAAAAAATTTAGTTGGCAAAATATTACGAATATTTAAAAATAAACAACACGTTGTCATTTGTTTGAGTCATTGTACTTAATGGTACTTGGAATAAATTCCTGACAATACATTCAAATAGAAATTGCATTTGTTAAAGCAATACACATATGAAAACAAAAACAAAGATAGGTAAGTCAACGGCGTCTATTTGAGAACTCCTTATTAAAAACTGAAATTTAACTTAAAAGATTTGCTAATCGCACTCACAAATAGTTGCATAATTGCAAATAGACTTTATAAACCAAAAATTACACTTATTTCACAATAGATTCAGATATCATAACACTATTTATGTCCGCAATGGTATATGTAAATTTATACTGAAAATTCGTCGTTTGGTTAGTTAAAAAAAAAATTGAAGAGTAGTAAAAGTAAAGGCCACTGAAGGCCGTTATAAAACTAACTGCATATTATTCTTTACACCTTTGGAAATGCTGAGGCTAAGTTCGATAACCATATCTAACCAATTGGCTTAAATATTTACATTTACAATCTAAAAATCCAAAAGTAATTATCAACAGGAATTTATACCATAACTTTATATGACAACTAAGTAAGAGTTTTTAGGGTGGCTGAATATAAATATAAGATCAGTGGCGAGTCCGCGGGGGAGGGGTGACGGGGGGTTTGGGTGTTAAAACCCTCCCTTAAATCGAAGAATAATAGTTCAATAATATGGGTTTAAAAAAGGGTTTTTGAGAAAAAAGTGTGCGCAGTAAAGTGTTAAAACACGAAATTTTCAAATACATTAAATTTTTCGCTTTATTTATAAAACATGTTGATACTTTTAAACTCATTCAATTTTCGTTTTACTTATATATCAATGAAACGAAGATTTTTCAAATTTTTCTTGTTTTTTTGTAAAATTCTCCTAGAACTTCGTCAACTGCAAAATTTATTATTATTTATTTTTTTAATTATCTTTGTGAATATTCATAGATGCTAGATCAGAGGTTCTTAAACTTATTTTTCTCTTAGACCCCTTTCAATCCTTCGTTGGTTTCGGTGGACCCCCTGATGCACATTTTTAACATATTCCCAAAGCTCATCAAAAAATGTGAAGATTAAATATAACGAATGTATGTAATACTCCTATATTGGCAATTAGAGCTAGTACCGTCCGAAAACACTACAGTACAGATATATGAATAAACACGTACGAAAGAAAAGGAACACAAAAGTTTATAAATAAACATGT